AAGATCACCAGTGATTTCAAAATGGATGTAATAAGTTTGTAAACAACTGAAAATCAGTAAAGTTCTTATTTAAAAATCAAAAACCTGGTTGGAATGACAAACTATTTTGTTTTATTATTTCTACTAAGGTCTCCCAACGGTTAAATTTTTTAAACACTATCGATCCATTTAGGAAGAGCCAAAATATTACCGAAATTTACCTTTCAGAGAATTACAGAATAGTAGATTGGACGAGCGAGATCGTTACATCTTGAAGCAAAATTGTATAACCTGATACAGTCATCGTTTTAGTGTTAAAGACATCTAGTATACTTTTCCTAGCTTTCAATAGAGAGGTCGTATTATAGCACGTGTGTCTTTTCACCCTTAAGCTGCTCATCGACACAAACAGAGGATGTTTTTTAAAATTGTGCAGTAAATTCAAGATTCTCTCCTAATTTAGGTTGCCACATGCTATGTATTAATATATATATATATTTAACAGCAGGCTTTCTGTAGTAAAATGGATGATTTTTTTCATTAAAGATTTTGAAATGAGAAGAACATTTTTCCAATTGAATGGAACCTTTTTTTAAAAGAAGCAATTGTTTCAGTGAAAAAAAAGAGAACTAGTTTTATCCCCGAGTAGTGCTGCACAAATTTATCACAGTCTTTTAAGTGAAACATATGATGCAAAAAAATAAAAATTTAAATTAAATTCGCTAATAGTCTGTATCAACTCAAACAATTGTGATATTCACTCCAAGATAGCGTCTATTTTTAGCAACGAATTCAAAATCAAAGACCAATGAAAAATGTGTCATTTAGGATTTATTTGCGAGTAACTTGAATTTCTATTTGTATATTTTTGGGAAAGTACAAAAAGCTGTCGTCGGAATTGAAAGAGTTTTCCCTAAATCAGTGTATTTGGCGTTTCTGAAATCTAGACGTTATCAACAATCTCTCTAAAGAGGCTTCAAATAATAACCACATGTGCGCTTATAAGCATCCTTTAACAGAACAAAGAAGTTCTACTATTTAAAAATATTAGCCTCCGGTAAGAGTTGTATGCGTCAAGGATAAGTGTCTTGAGGTTTTTTGAAGAGTTCTTATCAAACAGATTACAATGCCTTTCTTTTCACTCTGTAGCTGTAACTCAGCACAGAAAGATGATATTGATATTTCAACAGCTTGTGTAACAAAATTAAAATTACCTTCATGATCATTTGATAATTTTAATGGAAAATTAAGTTTATGGCGCAGAGAAATTGAAAGTCCCAACTGAATAAGAAAATGTGTGGCTTGCTTTATAAAAAATAAATGCTCGATCAGTGAAAGTGGACTTTTCAAAATTAAGGAGTACGGGATTTGAAGGACTTTCGGAAACAGATATTGTATCTTGCTAACAGAGAGAGATCATGATAATGACCAAGCAGTGGAACAACTGAAACTAAACAATGTCTGAAAAAGTTTTTTTTTCTCTAATGGGAAATTTAATGAAAAAACAAACAAACAAGCAATTGTGATCTCCGAACAATTTTAGAAAAATTGAGAAGAATTGAAAGATTTTTCTAGCTTAAACGATTCACTTTTATAAACCATGAATATGATTTTGCAATAAACAAGACCGAGTTGACTTCCATATTGACAGATGTTTCCATCATCAAGCAGAAGGAAAGCCAAGGAAAAAATCTAGGAATGCATTTATGAGAGAAATTTGATGGTTTTCTTTTTAGTTTGCATTTAGTTTCGTGTGCGTTGTGCTACAGCAGCAGTTTCAAACTGTGAAAATTGAAAATAATGACCTTTTTTAACTTAATTAGCATTTCGTAAAAAAAAAAACGGAAATGTGTAACTAAATATAAAAATTTAATCGCAAAAGTTTTGTTGAACGAAAGTAATTCTTTTATTAGTGAAAAATTAAATATTGAATAAAAGTATTGGTTTTTTTCTTAACACTGCTAAAACATCATCCAGAGATATCAAGATCATTTCAATCAAGTAGTTTTGTAGGTAAATTTGACGTTATCTTATTGACATTATCTAATATAATTTCTCAGCATGAAATTTAACCCTTACGGTAGATAAAAGTAAAAAGTCGAGTGTCCTTCATCAAAGCAATGTCAAACAAACGAAATGTCTCAGAGAATTAGCTAAGGATGCCTTGGTCTTGTAGTAATGCACTTTGCCTGGCTCATTCCAAGGCCATATCCTCTCATCGTCGCTTAAGTTGTAAATTTTAACTTCTTCCGATGAGCTGACGGACCCTGCTTTTAATTTTAACCTTAGAAGAAGCAGAAATTTGATTTGATTCTAAGAGCTTCGAGAATTTTTTTCTGAAAAAAAAAAAAAAGCTCAGATAAAAATTCTCGGAGCTCTTGTAATCGAATCAATTTCTGCTCTTTAAAGATTAAAAGGAAAACCGACCAACAGGGCCTTGGACCCCTTGAAGTTACTTGAATGACTTAAATTAAACGACGGCGGGGATACGGCCGTCGTTTAATTTGAGTTGTTAAATGTGCACTACTGCTAGACCACAGAGGCTTTTGATAAGAAAACAAGGCAAAATTACACTAGAAGTAGGTTGGCTCTCATTGTTCATAGAAACAATACATTGTGATTGATTCCTATTGCTATCGTCCTTCTGAGACTTGTAAAGATCTATTGTGTTCACCTTGCATTCTTGTCTTCTTTTTTTGCAGGTTGTTTGAATTCATTTTCGAAGAAAGAAACGAGAGAAAGTTTCCTATTCTGTCTATTTTTATTAAAATTGATAGCAAGAAATTTTACGTCCTATTTTAGCGGCGAGAGTAGATGTTTAAATTTATTGCAAGTGTTACTTTATTAGCTAAAGAGTCGTATAAATTTTGTCGATGCCAAACTTTTTGAGTGAGCGAATGATTTATTTTGTTATTGTCGTAGAAAATTCTCTTCGTTTGGAGAAGTTTAAAAATTTATCTTAGAAGTGGAAAGGCATATTCTTAGTATTTCAAAGAAGTAGTGCAAATGATGTCTTTAAATTATTTTGCAAACAAATGTCGTTCAAAAGTTAGTCCAGTCTTTTTAATGAAATCTGTCGAACTCTAGTAGTAGAAGTACAAATAGTGCGTTGTTGTCGAAGTTTAGTAATAGAAGTGTAACTAAATTGTCGAACTCTAGTAAAAAAAATCTGTCTAATAGGAGTGCAAAAACAACGTTGTTATGAAAGTGTAGTACTTGAAGTGCAATTGAAAAGTCGTTCTAAAATCTAGTATTCGTGGTGCAAGCGAAAAGTCTAGTAGTAATAGTGCAAAATTTGTAAAACTGTAGTAGAACAGATTTAAAAATCAAACTGTAGTAGTGCAAGTGAAGAGTTCTTTTTAAGTAATCTGAGTCGTATGTTGCAAATAGAGTAGTTTTGAATGATTTCAAAATCCAGTGATAGTGCAAATAAAAGTATTTCTAAAATAGCAGTGCAAGAGAAGAGTCGTCTTGAAATCTGTTCAAGTGTAGTTGTAATAGTGCACATAACGTTGCTGAGAAAAAATTGTCAAACTAGTACAGCAAAGTGAGCAGTTTTTTCAAATTAGTCATATTGCAAATAGAAGTCGTTCTAAAACTGTAGCAGTAGAACTCATTTAAATCAGTCAGATTCTAGTAGTAATAGTGCAAATGAAAAAGTAGTTCTGTTGAACTCTAGTAGAAAGTGTGCAAGTGAAGAGTTTTTCAAATAAAATGTGAAGTCTAGTAGTATTGCAAATATAAGTCCTTCTAAAATAGTGGTGCAAGAGAAGAGTCGTTTAATCAGTAGTAATAGTGGAAATGAAAAAGTTGTCAAGTCTAAGAAGTCATTATAAAAAGCTGTCAAACTCTGACTAGTAGCAGTGCAAGTAAAGGGTCGTTTCGAAAACTGTCAAAGTCCAGTAGTAATAGTGCAAATGAAGAAGTAGTTCTTTCAAACTGGTAGAAGTGCGAGTGAACAGTTGTTTATAAAATGTGACATTCTTATGATGCAAATAGAGTCGTTTTGAAAGTCTAGTAGTGCAAATAACAGTCGTTTTAAAAAACTCAAATTCTAGCAGAAGAAGGGCAAATAAAAATCTGTGAATTTTAACTGCAGTAGTGAAAATAAGAAATTTGTTCAATAGTCTAACAGTAGAAATGCACTTGAAACAAACTCTAGTAGTAATAGTGCAAAAGTGTAATTAAGAAGTCGTCATAAAAAGCGGTCACTAATGGTAGTGCAATTACAAGTCGTTCTAAACAGTAAAAGCGCAATTGAAAATTCTTATAATCTGTCAAACTCTAGTAGTAGTGCTAGTGAAGAATCGTTTTGAAATCAGTCAAAGTGTAGCAGGAGTAATCCAGCCGAAAGTGGGTCAAAAAATCCAAGTAGTAGTAGTGCAAACATCAGTCAAAGTCTAGTAGTAGTGATGCAGGTTAAAAAAATCTATCAAAGTCTTGTACTAGTAGAGTAAGGTCGTTTTAAAATCTGCCATAGGTGACATTTTATTCTAACTTCATGAAAGGGAATTGTAGTGTAGCCGCAGTGACAATAAACAATACGATTTAACTCAGACGTTTATTCATGTATTTTTATTTTCCTCTGTAAATGTCTTGAATTTCCTCCTTACCAGGGTTCATTCCTGAAAGAGATTGCATACATTTGAAAACGCAAAGTAAATGTTTTATCATAATTCTAGTTTGCACGCTTTTCTTGCACAGCAATGATTAAACTCATAAGACCATTTGCTTAGTTTGAGTTTTCATCTTGAGTCTAAAGAGTTATTTGGGCTGGAAAAGCTTACCTTGAAGTCAAATAAGGTGAGGAGATCAAGACGATTATGAAACGGCAATTTATAATGTATCGTACAAAAGCAGAATGTAAAATCAAGCTCGTCTTAAAAATTCCCGCAAGGGTGATTCATGCACTAAACGAACCTATTGTTTTAATTAACAATGGGAGCGAACCTACTTCTAGTGATATTTTGCCGTTATTTCTTACCAAAAGCCTCTGTGGTCTAGCGGTAGTGCACATTTAACAATTCAAATTAAACGGCGGCTGTATACCCCCAGCCGTCGGTTAATTTAATTGTTGAAGCACTTCGGAGGGGCGCGGGCCCCGTTGGTCAGTCTTCTTTTTCCTTTTAATCTTTAAAGAAGCAGAATTTTGTTAACATTAAGATCTCCAATAATTTTTTTTTTCTCGGAAGAAAAAAATGCCGAGAAGAAAAAAAATTCCCAGAAAAGATTTCTTAGATATCTTAAAATTAAAAATAGTCTGCTTGAGGGGGTAAGAGGAAATTTACAACCTACTATACAAAACAGCGGGGTAAATATGGCCATCGTGTCAAGCGCCGAAGTCTTGCACAAAACCACAAGAACGCACAGGCTAACAAACGTAAATAAGAAATGCATTACAATATTTGGAGAACGAGAGTGTCTTTACATTATGTCTGCTAAAAATAGTAAATGAGTTCTAGCCTAAATGAAATTGTGTTGGGATTTCCTTTAGGAAATGTTGAAAAATACTAGTGGCTCTGCAAGATGTGTACCATGAAAAAAGTTCCATAACCCTTCAAAAAATATTAAGTAATGTGTAATCCAAAGAAAATCTTGTAATTGAAGAAAAATGTAAAAAAGTAATGTTCGCAAAACAAAAATCAGAAATCCAAACAGTTCTTCGCCTTACTAGATGCACGTCCGGCAATATCACCCCTGAATCACACATGAATATCACGAGAATAAAGGAAATGATCACCTAAACTAAAAGAGGCTTTTGATTGTTCAACAAATTCTCTTTGTCAGCACCTTAAGAAATGCATAGAGAACAGTATGGAGAATACGTTTAGTGAATTTAGGGTGTAAAGGGTTGCATAGACAGATTTCGGGCATATTTTTCAGCGTCTCAATTGTTTTTTTTGTTTTTCAGGGAAATTAAACTGGACTATTGGTTTCGTCTACAAATACGACTTTAGAAAATATTCCGAAAGCTACCGTCTAACCAAATGGAATGATAACTTTTGCTTAAGGGTTTCTGGTATTTTAGAAGGTTTTTTTTTATGATGAATGTAATAGAAGAGAAGGTGACCGCGTTTAAGTGTAACGATATCCTAAAAAAGATCGATGATGTATGATTTGTCTCTTAAAAATTCACGAACTCACTAGCGGTAGATTTTTTCAATTGAAAGAGTTCTACTAGGTTTTCATCACGGTTTGTTTGTTGGAGAGTGTTAACGTGCTCAGTTTTTCACTTGAAAGAAGTCTTATTTTATAGGCCAGAATTTATCCTGAACAGAATGTTTGAAGGGTTTCGTTTAAGTTTGTTTGAGAATGTTGACGTAATTCAATCTTTCTATTTTGTATGAAGTTTTAACATGTTGTCACTCGAGCCACTTTAAATCCTTATTCAGATGCAAAATATCGCTTTCAGTTGTCAAAATACCATTTAGACTGTATTTGTTTTAAGTTCAAAATCTCCCTTTACTAAAAAAAATATCAGATTGTAGAGTTTAACCGTCATAATTCATGGCCAATTCTTCTATAAATTACTATCTCTTATTCTTTTTACATACTGGCAAAGCTATATGCTAGTAATATTTTTTTTTGGTACGTCAAGAAAATAAGACAGAAATTGATAAAGAAAAACACAAGAAAGACAAATTCTTTCGCCCTGCGAAATGTTATCACAATTTTTGCTGTGAGGCTCTCCCCAATCTCTATCGATAGATGGATTACTAAAGACAATGGCCGCCTCTGATTGAAACTCCCTAATATAAAAATTACCTCGAAAAACTCTTTACACGTTATTAGTAACGCACGCGCACTTGGGATGAAAGACATTTTGGTTTACGTAGCTCAGAGTGTATTTGTTAAAAATAATGTACATGTGTTTAAATTTTACAAGCATTGAATAAGCTAGTAAACCCCTATAGCCACAGTTGTTCTTTCTCCAGATTTAATGATTGTTTTTGTCTTAAAAAGTCACGATTTAAGCTTAAAATCGTTCTTTTTCACTTCAAGGTCTCTTCTGACCAAAGTTCCACTTCTTACTGGAAGTTCTTTATTATAGAGACAGGCACAACTTTCTTTGTAAAGTCAGCATTTTTCCATCAACCTATCATGACTTTAAAAAGGCCTTTTCGATCCATACTTTGCTTTTATTTTTTTATTTTAAGTTTGAAATACCTTCTTTTACCAAAGTGATATTTGTTTCAGTTTCTTTAACATTTTTTAAATTTAACTTTTTCTTATTCTAGTAAGTTAATCATGATATTAGCGACATAATATTTAGGTTAACAAAGTATTTTTTTCTTTTAACACCTATCTTACTAATTTTTTTTTTTGAGAGAGAAAGATGATTCAAGAGTACATTGCCTAATTGACATTCAAGCAATAATTGAAATGGTAACATATAGTATTTACAATGATAACGGTAACAAAAAAGCCTCATGGTTCCCCTATCCCCTAGGTTCCAACTATGACTAACTATGCTTCTTTTAATTTCGCCTGTTAATTGGAAATGATTTTTTTCTTTTCATTGCAATTCCGTTTTTTTGATACTTTTGTGTTAGGATATTCCGCCATTCCGCCGATCCACCGTTCCTCAGTTCTATAATTCCATTGAATATCTCAAGGTATCGTAGGGCGCAGCTTGTTCGCTTCGCAAATTTATGGGCCCTTTTCGGCAAATAGCGCTGGTTCAAACAGTAAGACGCTCTCTTTTCAACGAAAAAATTTTCCTCAAAACTTACACAATGTGCAGATCACGTCTATATTTCTATATTTCAGCGGGGAAAAGGACCGGGTCGCACTGGAGCGAATTCTTCGCACTTTCCAATTTTGGCGGCGGTTGCATCAAACTAAAATCCTTCGACCAAAACTTCACTGATTGATTCGTATGTCAATCACAAACCCATCTCATTCTAAAAAGAAATAGAAAGAATATCGCGCGAAATGCTACGATGGAACGGATCCTTTTTTCCCGCTGATCTTTTGCGTTTTGGTTGACGCTGGCGCTACCTGTGCTTCAGTTCTAGCAACGGATGGAGAATTTCTCGTTCAAGCCCTGTGTTTTCTTAATTGCTGCCAGTATAACCGTACCCGGGGTACGAGTCAAAGACATTTAAATAAAAGGGGCGCTTAAATTCGCGGATGAGGAAATTCCTTCAATCGCACGCTAAACTAGGCGAGCGGACTAAAATTGTTTTTCCCTGACGAAATTTCATCCAGATATATCTTGCATTTCACGACAGCTAAATGGTAAAAAAGCTGTTTGTTTTGCCAACATTTGGAGACGTCCGAGGCAGGACTTAGGGTTTTTTGAAGATTGGTGAAAATTTGGCGATTTGCAAAAATTTGGCCGGTTTTTAAAACTGGGGGTCGCACTTATTTTACGCTACTTGTTGACAAATTTTTCACATAAACAAACAAAGAAAGCTCTCGTGAGACAATAATACATCGGTGGATGCCTCTGTGAAATTATTTTAAGTATTAGGTAGTGTCACCTACGACAAGATCTAAAAGATTATATCGTCGGATCTACTTGCTGATTTAAACGGTAAAATGCTCTCTCCTCAAAGAAAAAAATTTCCTTCAAGTGTAATGATGTACCGATCACACCTATTGTGATATATCTTCTGGGAAAAGTTCTGTTTTAAATCCCGCACAATTCTGAAATGATTGTGAGACGTTTATCACTTTCTGGTCTTCCATTGTGTCACGGAAAGTCCTTGTAATGTCTGAACTGAAGAGACTATACTTTCGGATTCACATGATTCGCCGATTTAAACGGTAAAAAGCTCTCTCTTTAAGGAACAAAAAAAATGTTACTCGAATTTCATGATGCACCGATCTAACCTACTTAGATATTTCTGCAAGAAAAACGTTTGCTTTTAAAATCACCCGCAATCTTGAAATGATTGGGAGATGCTTATCGTCTTCTACTGCATTCCCTAGTTTCATGGCAAGAACTGAAAACATGATGTGATAGTGGCTTTAAGCCAGAATTAAAAAAGGATAGAACTCAACTGTGCGTCGAGTGCAAATTTGGAACCACTAAGATACTCCCAACAATAATCTCACGAACTTGAGCCAAGTATTCAGCTCGGCTTCCTGCTGAAGAGTTAACAACTCACGCACTTGCTTACGGGGCGATAACATAATGGCTACGCATTCCCAGAATGCAGTAGCCACAAAATTGTTCCTCTCGCTTGAACGAAAATTAATTTATTAAAAACAAATATCAGTTCAAGTCAAGTCATCTTTATTTAGACAGGGTAGCCCCATCAGCCATAGGCTGGTATCAAAAGGGGCCCTGCGGTATTCTTTTTCAGTTTAAAGCCAACAACCACGTAAAATCCAGAGATTTCCATTTGCCAGAGGTAAATACTTTTTTATGAAAACTTGACACGGAACAAATTCTCAGCATTCATTAAGAACTTTTACTCCATGGTCTTCCGTTAATGAAAAACATGTTTGATGATAACTGAATTTATCCCATCAACTTGTACGAAGATTTCATTTAGAAGGTTGCATTGGGCAACTTGGATTCTCTTGATCTTGTTGTACCATTTGAAGAATTCAACTTTGCGTTCACTTCTCACGTAAAACGGTTTTGTTCCATTTCTTTTTTCAGCAAATGCTCTTAGCCTCAATCTTATATTCTTGCGTCAAGTGTAGAAACGCACTTTTTCAGTTCACAACCTTCCCTTCTTGATTATGCATTTTTGGCAATTTATATACAATAAAAGGATAGTAATAGTGGAGTAGGATTTCATCTCATGAAATGAATCAGAATATATTTTGACCCCAATATCTCCTTATACCTTTTAAATTAAAAATATAAGGGTTTCTCCACTGAGTTAGTTTGTTTCTAGCTGTTGAAGAATTTTGATCATTCGATATCGAATTAACATTTTTCGCAATTGCTGTATAGCAATCCTCGACTGCAATTCATGTTGTTGTTGTTGTTATTGTTATTTATTTCATTTTATTTCACTTTGGAAGTATACGTTTAGGCCTTTTCTTGGAAGAGAGCAATTAGAAAACTGCAACCCTTGAGCGACACTCAATTGAGAGATTTATGCGACATATTTGTATTTCGAACAAGAGATTTCTTGCTCCTCACGAAAAGTAAACAAAAAAAGAGAAATGTATCTTGTTCTCTAAGAAATACTGTAAATTTATCTTTAGCTATCCAACAGATTCCGCTTCCTCAATAAAAGCATTCCCATTCCATACCTTAAGGTTTTACAACTTTTTAAAACTTTTACGGCGAAGGAACCAAAAACTATTTATAGTACAACATGTTTGTAGGTTATCGTTAATGTTAGTTAGAAACTTATACTGAATATTACATCGAATATTAGGTTTTTTTTTCCTCACGGAGGCCAACCTTAAGCAGAACATTCACATCGTACGATCTCAAACAATCCATGTCATGGTTTAAAATTAAATATTTTGTCTCCAAACGGTATTACCGGTAAGCTATATTTGATTAATTGATTGAATATATTTACGAAATTTAGCAATTCATTTCGTTTATGAGCTTATTTCACATGAATATTACATTTAAATTTAGTTCTACCACATGCAAAACATCTGCGCGATTTTAAGGTCATCCTTTCGGTTTCTATTGTAAATTCTATCCCTAATTTCGGTTGAGAAAGATCCCTCTTAAACTCAAAACATGTTTCTCTAGTTTTACGAAAATACCCACTTTTTTAAATATCAATCAGTCTGATTCTTCAGTCTTTTATTAGACTTTTGCAGCAATCTGTAATACTCCTGGAGCTCAGCAAGAAAAGGCTATCGAGTTAATATTTTGTAAAGGTTGAAACCATGGTAGAATTCGTTAAAAATTTTGGCTACGTTCTCCCAGTTACATTGTAATGAATTTCTTTGATTTACTGGCAAAACAACAAATTGAAAACTCACGTTTAGCTGAGGTTTAACTTCACTTCGTTCGTTTCCCTTTGTAAGTTCCCAGTCTTCTTATCCAGTAGCAGTTTTCATTTCCATCTCTCTTCTACAAATAAAATAACTTAATTACTGACATGAAAAAACATCAAAAAATAAAAAAAACAAACAAACAAAAACAAATAAAAACAAATAAAAAAAGAAAAACAAAAAATATTCCAAGTTTTTTTTTTTAAATGTATATTGGTCTTGCTTTAGATAAGCTTTCTGGTATGTTGCACAGCTTCAGCTAAGAAAACATATTACCCCAGCATGAAAGATACAGAACCAGAGTAAACCCAAGGGATTAGAATTACGGATATGAGAAGTGCGTGAAAATGGACAGTGACATCATACTTGTAGCTGGCAACCACCTCCTCCCTCCACCCCTCTTTTTTTTAAGCGTGCTCCTTTTGCGTCGAGCTCCCTCTCGTATTTAAATCTTGTCTCCGCAGATGTAATGGCACCTGTCAAAATGCGATTCTTTCAGATTCGTTTAGAAATTTTCCAAGAAATCCTTGTTGTTGTTGTTGTTGTTGTTGTTATTTTCCCTCTTCTAATTTTGATTTTGTATTCAAATTGAGTTTCCAGTAAGTCCAGTTTTTATAAACAAAATACAATGAAGAGCAACTGGGCCCACAAGTTAAGCAACAGCAAACAAGGGACAAGAAAGCAAAGAAAACGTCTGTAGCAATGCCATATCAACGAGATAGTTCGGAATAGTTCAAATGGCAGCAAACAGTCAGCATTTTAGCGCTGTTTTCTATGTTTAATTGTCATGAATTGCTTTAAACTACCAGCCAAAAAAAAAAATATTGAAGAACTTGCGTTTAACTTCGTTCTTTTACATCATTCAAATGAATACATTGATAAGTAACATGTCGCACGCGAATAACCTCTTGGGAAAGGACTATCAGTGAAAGATGTATAATAGTCGTGCAAATTAACTTTCTTTCTCACGAAGTCATTTATTAGTAAATTTTATTACTCTTCTCCATCTTTTCTAACGTTTTTTTCTTATTATTTTGCTCATGGGAAGTAATCGACATGGTTAGGTCAAGGTCTTCTCGCCTTTCACCAATTTCACGGTGTAGTTTTCCTTTTTTCATTGTATCGTACTCACACTATCCGTCGCTCATTCGTTTCGGGTACAAAATAAATACTAAAGTACATGTGATCCCTTGACTTACTCTCTCACCAAAAAATTCGCAGTCCATGTTATCCCTGCCTCTAGCATCGTTAGTTTACCGCAGTCCTGGAAAAAAGAAAAAGCACGAACCAAAAAAAGGAAATAATTCAGAATAAGGGATAAAAGTTTCCTTCTTCTCTCCGTTTCTCGATGTTTTATGTTTCTTCAATACTGTCTTTGAAAATAAAATATAACATTGAACGCTCCGGCCTGTCAACATTTCAAGTCAGTACACATACAGACATACATACATGCAAACTTTATTGGAACTCCCTTCAACAGGGCTTTTCAGTCACTTTAAACTAAATAAACTTATTTACAATAACAATTTAAACTAGAAATATTTCTTATAAAACATATTTTTAAAAAGAGTCTTCTTAAAACTGTCAATTTCTTTCACATTCTTACTGATTCTCAGCTAGCCCCATTCCATTCCCTTGGATCCCGGTAGTAAAATCCCCTCTGTCCCGTTGACAGTCTACATCGGGGAACCACAAGACTATTACATCCCCTTATATTCCTGTTGTGGACTGCTGAACGTTTAACAAAATATTTAACTAAATAATCTGGAGCTAGACCATTTACACATTTAAATGCTAAAACCCAGTCATTAAATAAAACTTTCTCTGTAACATCTAACCATCTAAGAGATTGTCTGAAACATTTATAAGGGCAGTTTCTGTTGAATGCATTTTCCTATTTCCACTTTGGTAGAACGACAGTTTATCATTCGTTGTTAAAAATTCCACAAACTGCTTGTGTGCCAGTCTCTCGCTTACTTTCGATAGAATGGGTAACAATGATATCGGCCTGTTGTTGGCCGGTTCTTCTGAATAGGCCATTTTACAGTTGTGTGCTTAGTTGCCAAGCCTTTGATTCAGAGTGAGGCTAAAGATGACCTTGTTGTGATAGAGACCTTTATCTAGTTAGCATGATAACAAAGTGAGTTACATCTGAAAGGCAGCAAGGTTTGTATCATAACAAGGTCATCTCTAGCCTCACTCCCATTCAAAGGCTTGGCAACCAAGCACACAACTGTAAAATGGACTATTGCCTTCTTTGGGTACAGGTATCACTTCAGCAATTTTCCACGCTTTGGGAAAGGCAGCCATTTGAAACGCACTATTCACCAGTCTGGAGATCACAGGTGCGATGCTCTCACAGCTGTCTTTCAGGACTCGAGCATAAATTTTTAAAAATAGTTATTTGGTATATCTTTATGAATAGCTAGGGGAAAACCAGTCAAGAGTAACGTGAACACGCTTACTCGTACCTAAAACTTGGCTCTCTCGGTTCTATCCGTACTTCCACCACTGAAATCACTCACTTACCCCTGAAAATTGAACAAAACGTTCATACGTTCAAAAAGATTTTTAGTGTACCGCCACGCTGCACAAGATCCATGTATTAAGCTGTATTCAACATTGAAACTGAGAAACACCTGACGCTTTCGCCTAAAATCTTCCAAAAGAACTAAAGTTGTTCAGACACTTACTTGTAAAGTAACTTAATCTGCCAAGAGTACAAAGGCACAAGGTACTGCTAAACTGTGAACAAGAGGACAAAGACAACAAAATTTTAATGAAGAAGTTCTCTCTGGCAACTTTCAAGAGATTTGCAATGATCAACATTTGAAACGAAGTTAATAAAAAAGTCGAAGTACAAGAATTAAAAACGACTAAGCAAATAACAAGGAGACAGGTTTTAACGAGACCTTCAAAGAAGAGAACAGTATAAAACGCACTTCTCTCTCACCTCATTTGAAGTAAGAAGTATTCTGCAAAAGCACGACACTATCTCCATTTCTGGACTTCTGAACCTGAGATAAGGAAGCACTCGTGTCAAAAAATACTTTTCGAAGCAGTTACCAGCAGGGAAAGCGGTAGAGTACGCAGAATTTCTGTTCGAAGAAGCAAAACACTGTTACTTCGTGAACTGCATGTGAGACAATGTGTGAGACAGAAATGAATGAATAATTAATGTTAGAGGCATCTTTTATCTCGCCCTTTGCCCCCTGCGTATGTTGATCACAACAAGTCCCGAGGGTTTCACATTTGCCCCAATGCCTTTTTGAATGAAAAAACTAAGAAGAAATATTAATTCACAGGCGAAATTAAAAGAAGCGTTGGTAATCATTGTTGGAGCCCAGATGATAAGAAAACCACGAGACCTCCTATAAATAGTCACTCAGGATTGCGCTCTATTAAAACCAAAGTTTTCCTGCAGAAATATCTTAATAGGTGTGATCGGTGTTTCATGAAATCTAAAGGAATTTTTTCTTTGAAGAGAGAGCATTATACAGTTTAAATAAGCAACTTATGTAGATCCGAAGATGTGATGTTTCCAGTTCTTGCCATACATTAGCGCTTAATCCTGAATGCTTTGGTATTGTCATTTGAGGGGTCAGCACGCCCAATGACCTAAGAAGTTTCTTAAAGTCATAACCGGAAGTTGGAGTCGGTACTCAGGACTCAGGTGGAAAGATGACTGTCTCTCAAGATATTTGGACGTATCTCTTATCTGCTGCTATCGGCATCATAATATCATTTCTGGTGTTAAAAATGTGGAATTCATCTCAGAATGAGGCGACGAGGCGGCCCAGGGTACCAGTGGAACACGACGAAAGGCAGGAATAGGAGACGTTGCCTACCCCGTTATATTCAGGTGAGTGGAGGCGCTTCTCAGATCGAGACTCACAAGTGACGAAAAGAAGGAAAAAAGAACATAGATAAGTGGCTGAATTTTCGTGTTTCTAAGTTACCATGGTACAAACTGTTCTGAAACTTCTGATCTGAATTATATAGAAGTTTTGTCGACTAGCTTGTTAGTAATTTCGCGGGCCAAACTATTACAGCGCGGAGACAGGTAGAGTTAAGTATGATTCCTGACGAGGTAAATATCTTACAGTTTATTTACACAGTTCTTCACAAATGACTCAATTTCGTTTGCTTGATTTTTACCCACTACTTATTCCTTAGGGCGAGGACAAATTACACGAACTAACTGAAACAAGATAAACAGAAGCTTAGAGAAGCGCATTCCTTAGACTTTGAAAATTCAGAAAGGTAGCGAAACTACCTTCGAAACCTGATTGACTTTCATGGTCACCCCTTACTAAATGTTAGATTTAGAAATTGGTAGCTTCACTAGAATAGCTTGACGCTTTTCAATTCTTGTTTTCTTCCATTAGATTTTACACGATCGAAGTGCCAAGTTTTAAGTTTATTTTGGTCTTCCAAAACAATTACTTACAATAAACACCACCAGCAAATAGCGAGCTAATCTAGGCGGGCGATGCGAAGGACAAACAAACACGAATTACTAATTGAAGGCGTTAAAAAAGTCGATTTTGAATACATATTTGTCAAAACCCCATTTAACTGACGGTTCAATTGATTCTTTTGCCTTTTTTTATTTATTTATTTATGTGATTCTCGGGACACAAGTTAGCAGGTTATACTCTCGTGTAATCCGTTAATTAACTACGGAAAGGAAGAGTGTTTGTTTGATATTGGGTTTTATTTTTCCAGGTTACACCGTTAATTATACAGAGATGAGTAGATGTTGTGGGCGGTCAATGTTTGGACATCAATACAGTGTAGATAAATGTAGAACAAAGAATTTTATTTTCTTGACGGGTCATCTGTACAAGCAAACCAAGTGGTCAGAGAGAGACAACACATTAAACAAAGGAAAGAAAAGGCCATTTACTTGAACATCTGCTGGGCTTTTGATTGTTACGGACGTTCTTTGCTATGTTAATTAGGTTTAAAAGCTTTTTAATCTTGTAATTGTTCGTCGCATTTTACATTCGACAAGCTGCAGTTGTCAGTTGTTTTTTAGCTTGATTTACATGGTACGTTACTAAAATAGATATGACTGTGTATTCGCGTGTGATTTTTCCCTTCACATAGAAAGGTAATTTCCATCCAATTGACGTGACCATAGTTAATAGAGGTTATAATACTTACATCGTCAGCAGCTTCTGTATTCATCTAGCTCTTCTTCTTCTTCTAAAATGTCTAAAATGGCATCAAAATCGTCTCCGAAAATAAAAAGTTCACTACTATCCGCAATGTTGCCTTGTAGTGCAAATCAAGGATGTGCACGTTCGCGTGACGTCACGGTATGCTTCGACCTCAGGAGCCGAACAATAGGCCGGCTCTTTCATGTATGCCGGCCTTCATAACCAGTCCCCTCTATTAACTACGACGTGACTTTGTAATTAATTGTTAGTATGTTATTTGGCCTATTCGCACTACGCGAAATTTGTTTGTTTTGCGAAAAAATTTGTCAACGCGAAACCATTTTCAGTGCGAACGATTTGTTTGACCCACAAAAATTTTCGCAAGCACCACCAAACTTCAAATATGCCGTCAACCAGCTTTGGAGGCCCACAGTTTTTATGTCAGGTGAGAAAATCTATTGTTCCTTGACAGATATCCTTCAACTGGTCATGATCGAAATCTGAAGTGGTCCTTCAAATGTCCGTGTTTACCAGAGTGCATCTAGCCATGATAGTGTTGAAAACCAATTTTTTCGTTTAATTTTTTTTGTTTATTCGTTGCTTCGCAACAATTATGGCAAGTTTCCTTGTGTAGTGTTATCAATGATCAATCGAACTCAATTCGTTCTGAGGTTTTTAATTAGCTACCGATCATTTTTTAATCTCTGCATGTTCTTAAAATCCGTTTCGCATCTACAAAATTTTTATCTCTCTTACACGCAAATATATATTCATCGTGACATTCTTGCCATTCACTTGAAAATTACCGAATTTGGTCAAACAGTCGTAGCATTTTACCGCTGATTTTTAATGTCACACACACAAAAACACAAACACACACAACCGCAAAATTAATCGCTGCTCTGAAATTGAAAAACATCTACTATAATTGCATGTTGTCCTATAAATTTCAGTCATGTAGCTATCGTAAGTTAACGCTCAGTAAACAATCATTCTTCGCCGTCCCAGTAATTCTCAGGAACTTCCTCCGGCCGGAACATCCACGTCTGCATAAGGTAGCGGTGGTGTATTCCAATATTCTCAATCGTTTTCATATCATCTTCATCTAAGTTTACATGAAGTGCTTCAAGGTTCTCCTTAATGTGGTTCTCAGAGACAGATTTTGGGAGGACTGGAGTATTACGCTTTATTCCCCAGGCAAGAGCCACCTGCATTCCAAACAAAAACGGATAAGGACTCTGAAAGTCTTAAAATCCCAAAAAAAGCTGAAAAAAGCTTACCAAAAAAAAAAAAAACTTAAACGGGTTATTTGATCGACTGATACCTTCATCGCTTTCAACAAATATGCCATTTTGATGTTTTTACATATGACTAAAAAATCCTAGTGACATAGACCACTTTCATAAATGGCTGCCGTATAAATATTCTTTTGTTTAAATTTAAATTAGCCCCCTACTGGCCTCGCTTGAATTTTGTACTGGAGAACGTGGCCAGTAGGGCTAATTTAAATTTAAAGAAAAGAATATTAATCCAGCAGCCATTTATGAAAGTGGTCTATGACTAAAAATTTCGGGCGAAATGACACTAGTTTCGGGCGACGTGGCTACAGGTGAGATGACTTTCGGGCGACTTGACTGTAAACCCATATTTAACACTCTGCCTCTCACGCAAACTCTTGTTTTTTTTCTTTGGATGAGAACGCCCCCCGCAAACCCTCCTCGATGTAATATTGACATAACATCATATTCAAAAGGCAGGACCAACCTAATAAAATACATTTGGTTGTCAATTGTATAAGAGAATCTGTAGTTTAATCGAAATAAGGACCTGATGGGCTAGTCTATTCATACAAAGTTTTTGGTAGAAAGTGTACTAAAGGTGTAAGGAGAAGTTCTATTTTTATCACCTTAAGGAGTTGAAGGTTGATGATACTGAACAAATTGGCTAAGAGTTCACAAGTCACAGCAAACTACAGTTCCATAGATTATGCTTATGAACAGTAGAAGTACAGGCAATGTTTTGCATAATGCACATATTTTGACGTAAAATTTGGGACTTTGTAAAAGGATTAATAAATACGTGTTAAAAGATACGCGTATTACGTAACACGCATACTTTTGTAAGAGGATAAAGAGACACGTGCCTCGCTTCAAAAAGTCTGAAGAGAAAGCAACCAGAATTGTATGTAGTTTTAGTGATTTTCTTGTAACTTTCGCAATTCCTGTAGTTAGTTGTATCTGTAAAATGTTGTAACGTATATATTTTCTTTCCTTTGCAGTTTGAGAACGTAAAACACAAAACTTAACTGTTATTAAACTTAGTGTTTATTCAAAAATCTGCTTGGTCGACGTCTCTTCCGAAAGGATAAACATATATTCAATTCAGGCAAACTCACCAAAGCAGTAGTTGTGCCATGTTTTTCGGCAATTTTCTTCAACACTGGGTTTTCCAGTATCACAGGTTCAGAATCCTTGTTGGCAGAAGGACGATCAGGAGAGCCCAGAGGTGAGTATGCTGTCACGACAATGCCTACAATTTTACACACAAAATTCCTGATTATACCAAATAACCTAACAGTATCCTGTATCAGAGTGTACGAAAATTTTTGGGAAATTTGATGTTAAAGAAGACTTGAATTGTTCATTTTCATCAATCATATCTTATTACTGGTAAAATATTACCTAATTATATTCTTTGTTCTTGTATGTCTGCTAATTTAACTGTCCAAACTATTTCACTACCAACAGTGTACTCTGTTTAAATTTTAATGTTTGTGTCAGACTTTTCCTTCTTTCAAGTTCAAGAAAGGTAGTTACTAGCCATGAAGTAGAGTTGTCTTATTCAATTATTGACTTGCCTTTGTCAGCGCTAAACTTCAATAGCTGTGGCTGAGGTAAATATGGGTGTAATTCCACTGTGGGACAAATAACAAAAGGGATAAGTCATTTTTTGAGCAAAGCACATAAGATGCTTGAAATGAGGCAGGCAGACACCACCCCTCTCTTGAATTCCCAAAACATATTGAAAAAAAAACAAAAATTAGAAAATTGATTTACATTTTCACTTAAACCTCCCAACAAAAGTTTAAAGACTGTTGCAATGAGTCACTAAACAAACTGAATTTTGCAATTCTGATGGAACAGTCACAAGCTTTAAAAAAATGTACATCTGTGATAAACAAGTTTGCAATGTGCTGGTTAAAATGTTGACTGATCAAAGAATGCAATTTAGAGACACAATGACACTAGTTAGAAACAGATATTTCATTTGCATTGGGGAAGTTATATCTGTTATTAGGGATGAATTCTTCCTTGGACAAAATAATGCATAATGCCCTGTCAAACCTCCATTAAACCAGTGAGAACAATAGATCACCCTTTTACCCTAAAAAGCAAGCAAATAAATTATCCAACACCACCATACCTTGATTACACGCTGGAACTATTCTGGCAGTTTCCAAAAGAGTCCGTGTCTTCTTAGTTGTAAAATTTGAGATGCCAATGGCTTTACAGAGACCTTTGTCCACAAGCTGCTCCATTGCCTGTCAAGTTGTAAAGATTAAAAAAAGTTTATCAGATATTATGGCCAAAGCATGTTATTTTTATCAAATACCACAAGACTTTTACTTTGCAAACCTCCTCCAAAACAAACAACAAAGGCTGCTTTCCATTATAACTGTGCCATCAGGCTATATTTTCCAGAGAAAATGGACTGGTTCTGAGAATGGACAGAACTAGTTCTGACCAAAGTGGATGCACCATAGAACCATTTACATCCTATGGTCAGAGTGCAATTATTCTTCATACATTGGTTTTTTATACATTTCCTATGATGAGGAGATTTTGTTTGACATTCAAAAGCTCCCATCGTTGACTCATTTCTCTTATTCTTATGACCTTGTTGTTTGGTTTACCAGGTATACCATAAGGAGAAATTAGCAACACTTTGGGGGGTTAAAGGGCTAATATCAGCTCCTACTTGGGTTACAAGCAGAATGCCTGGGAGCATAGAGTACCTAATACCAAAGACAGATTTGCAAATAATTTCCACTTATTTTTCCCTTTAAAAGTAGGAGAAAGCTCATTATTCCACACACACACACGCACGTGCACGCACACACACACACGCGCACACACACACACACACACACACACACACACACACAATGAATCACTTCCATTAGGTAGGAACCAGATGATTAATATTTCATTTCAGCCAGACTTGGTGTAATGAAAGCTTTGTTGGTAATCCTACCAAGCACACACTTATTTTGACCATTATAAGTAGCTTTACCTGCCAAGTCTTTGCCATGCCTTCAGGTGAATAACCTATCACTCCATCTGCCTTAGAGTGAGGGAAAGGTACATCTTTTTTGAAAGCAAGGGGAATGTGGATCTATTAAAAAACAATAAAAGTTAACACTGATATAAAAAAATAGAAATTGATTTATACATGTCCATTAAATATGATGCCTCTTCAGAAATGCTTTAGGACTTGTACTACAGGGTAATGTGGATCTATTGAAAAATTCCCAAAATTAATATTGGCATCAAAATGAACATTGATACATGTCCAACAAATACAGCTCTGCCTCTCCAGAAATGCTTGAGGACTTGTTCCACTGGGTAATGGTTGACTTAATAAAACCTTATAACTTTGAGACTAGACTCAAATTTCATAGTGGAATAAATAAACATACAGTACATAGTACCTTCTCTTGGTATGAATTTGCATTTTAAAACCTAGCATTATACACGAAGATTTTTAATAAAACTTGACACAAAAAAAAATTAGATGAAAGATGGGAATGTACAGATTGGATAAAATTAATACTTACGAGATACAAATCCAAATATTTCAACTGCAGATTCTTCAGTGTTGTCTCGCATGCTGGTAAAACATCCTCAGGGGCCTGGCTATTACACCTAATGTTTTAACATTAAGTATTCAAGATGAGACTATAGAACAAACCTGAGTAACAAACATAATACCAACATTTTGTAGTTATTTTAAAACAAGCATTTAATCCAATGAGCTCCGTAACATCATGTCTGCAATAGAAAAATCTGATCCATGGGTTATTTGTTAAAATTTAAAGAAGCGTAAAAAAAAAACCCGAGATAACTAACATCCATGACAAAGTCAAAATGCTCAAATTCAAGTAACATTACCATCTGCTTTGCCACATGTTACAGCTACTTGTGGTGTATATCAGAAATAAATATTAGCACAGTAGTGGAAGTTTAGAAATTCAGTATTTACCAAAGTTTGGATGTAATGAAGATATCTTCACGCTTCACTTTTCCTTCATTAAACACCTCGGTAAGAGTTTCACCTATTTCATCCTCATTTTGATAGACATGTGCACAATCAATGTGACGGTATCCATACTGCAAAGCAAGCCTGACTGCTCTTCCTACTTCACCTTTCTTGGATTTCCATGTCCTGTAGGAGCAATCAGTGAACCAATAACATTAAAAACTTACAAAGTGCTTCAATAGGGAAATGGGGAGGGGTGGGGGAGTTTAACATTGGTACATATCACCTTCTCTGATCCAATAAGAGAGAGATAATTTGAAAAATACAAAAAAAATTAAATTAACTATAAACCCTGCCATGCTTCAAGACTCAGGGAGGTGCTAGTTTAAGACCCACCCATTGCAAAAACTAATGGTCATGCACTGGAAGGCAACAGCAATCAATTTGTACATGAAGAGATCCACTTCAAGTTTTTTTTTTTTTTCTGTGGCTTTGCCTTAACAAGGTTCACTCCAACTTCAAAACTTATGAAAACCCTTGTAGTTTCTTCTTTACAGCACGTCCTAAAGTTTATGACTAGTCAAGCTGAGATAGGTGAGCAACAGGGCAAGAAATAAAAGAGCCATGCTAAAATTAAGAACCAGCAGAAAAATGACACAAGAGGGTTACCTACGAGGAAAATCTGTGCTCAAGGACACTTTCAAAAAAGCCATTAAGACTTAAAACACCAAAAGTTGACAGTGTTTTGAGCTTAGCCTTAATTGAAAAGTGAGGGTTTTAAACTTCAAAATGACAAGAAAATACTGTCTTTACAGCTACTAAAAAAAAGAAATTGAGATCCTATGGATGCTCTCATTAGTTGAAAGATTTGTTAAGGACAGTGTATGTCACATGATTGTCAAATTTCAAATGACTGCATATTTTTAAAATATTTTTTTCTATAAGATAACTTTTTCTGAAACATATCTGTTGCAATCAGTGCATTGGGAAGCAAATCCCACTGGTAGGTTAACTTACCCCAAAGCAATTGAGGGCATTAATGCTCCATTATTCAATTTCACTGCCGCTGATGCCTGGAAAGAGAAATTATCCACCCTAATTATTTAACACTAATGTAATCTAGAGGGGGACAATGGGGGATTCTGAACATCACAAAGAAAAAAATCGGGAAAATATCACAGTATTGCAAAAAAAAAAGAAAAAATTGCCAAAGACCAAAATACTTCAACACTGAGTCAGAACTATATGTCATGCCATAACCATACTCGGTATGTAATAGAGCAAATAACACGGAAATAACATTAGCAGTGTCCGTGCCCCTCCCACCCCACCTCTAGCCCTGTTATTTTTCCCTTCTGAGTAGGAGCATTGCGTGACATACTACAATGCAAACGTATCGTTCCGCATATAATTTTTTTGAAATAAACGTTTTAAAATTTTTCATAGGTTCAACTTTAATGCCTGTATATTAGACCAATTAATCTAGTAAGGCAAGGGCAAAGGGCTAGCAAGTCATTTAAGCTTTCAGCTCAGCTCAATTACTAAAAATTACGCAACGCAAGTCTGAGTCATGCTACATCATTCCAAAGTGCAAAGAGAAATTAAAGAACCGTTTACTTCCCAATAGAGATCGATAGAGACATAAAGCAACAAAAACATGAGCTCTCTGTAGAAATCATTCGAAAAATATTCTTCATTAAACGTTCACATTTAATTTTAACTTAAACTTATCTTTCGCGATCGATCTCGGAGATCTTGACGAGGCCCTAATCACATGGAGAGAGGGTTTACCGGAGAGAGGATACGAGTGTTGTAAAACAAGGCAGAACAAAAATCTAACTCACCATAATGAGCCAAACTTCGAGTGATTACTCTAGGCGTCAAAAAGAGATAGAAATTAGACTCAGGCAGTCTCAAGTGAAGACGTTCCTTGCACAGTTCGACGACGCGAGTGTCACTGCACTATCACTTTCGCAAGGCACTATGGACTTCTACACAATCGGTCGGTCATCGGACCATCTTCGTGGTCTGATCGGGTCATGACCGCCTCTTTCCTTCCACGTACAGTCATCGGCCCGTCTCGTTGATGCGAATTAGCAGGAAAGATCCTGATTTCCTGATTAAGCTCGAAATATTGTTATGCCTCACCTATTTTTTAGGGCCTCTAAATATGGAATTCCTTGACGTGATTCCTCCCCATTCCCTCTCCAAAACGAACCTGAGAAGATCACTTATACTTAGGCCACTAGAAACCTTGACGTCTTTGACCGCGAAGAGAACAAAAGGTCTTTTTTTTTTTGTTAACTACTAGGTTTTATACAGACTCCGTTACGGAAAGCTCTAGTACCATCCTCGAAAAAGAAAAGTGTTTGGAACTACTGAGATACCTTGAAAAGTGCTTCAATAACCAATAAGAGAGTGATAAAGTACGGAAGTACTGTCAGTTGGAAGCGAATATAAACTGGGAGACACTGAGCCCTGTCCCGTTAGTGCCTGGTTATCCAAGCCAGTAACCTGGTTTCAAAATCTACTTTTTGAAGTTCTTATGATCCCCAAGGTTGATTTAATTCATACAAGCACACGATATTTATAATGTACTTTAATTTAAAAAAGTACTAAATTTAATACTAAATCTTTTTATGAGGTGCAGAATTTTTATCGATCTTCCGGGGAAGAAGGAGTCTCTCCCAAGTTTTTCTAGAAAGAGGTTGTGCTCATACGGTATAAAATCTGCAAGCTGGCCATTGCGAGGCGAGAACTATAGAATGAACGATAAATCTTTACAGAAGCATTTGCTTCTGATTTTTTAAGTAGAGACTTTCAATCGCAACAGCTTTCAGGTTGTGCGCATATCCACGATGGTTCAAATTTACCATCACATGTAAACTTCGTTGATCGTTTGGGTCTAAAGTTTCACCCCAGTCCTTGCCGTTAAACGTTTCTGTAAGAGTCAAACAAATTTGGCCAATTAAGTCTTGCTTCGTCTTTAGTATTTGTCTTCCCTTGCCAACAATTATTTCCAAATTTCATCATATTTCACATGTAAGACCTTGTCTTCGTTGAAAAAACGACTCCCAAGACTGCGAAGTTGCTCAAAAGACTCTCGGTCCACAAGATGCGCCCGCCGGAGACTAAACCCATGGCTGCCAGCCCGGAAACAGACGACATAAATTCTTAGGATCCATGGCTTCCCTTATTAGATGATTCACTTGTCCTGATACACTCAAGTGCACCCCATCTTCAACACCATCCAGTTTCTGTTTAAGTCGTAACAGCACTCTCTTCGCCATTTTGTTCACATTGTCTTCAGCGGCGATATTCTCCGCGCCCACTGTTGAGTCCAAGCAGTCAGCAGTAACACTGGCTGGAAACTGGTCCTCTTCCTCTGCCTTTTGCTGAAGGGCTTTCCTCTTTTCTGGACTGAGCGTCCATGATGATAACGGGTCGTAAAGTAAAACCTGGTGAGAAAAACAATGAAGACTTAAAATAAAGTGTAAGTGTCAAATTATCAACTAACTACCATTCCCACTACTTCTTCGACAACAATGACAATTATTGGACGAATCATAGCCAAATTTCGGGGTTTGTCAGCTGCAAGAAAATCAAAAACCGTGATCTTTTTCGAAAACCAAGTTCAGTGTAGACAACCGTGTAGGTAGAGAAGGTCATTTCACCTTTCGGGAAGTCTCAGGTCATTGTGAGGGAAACAACTGCACCTCGACTATTTCTCTCCTCTCGAAGAGAATATACAAGTACGAGCGCGCCGGTTTGGAAGCGAATGAAGTGATTTCTTCCGTCTAGCAGAGCCAATTTCGTAATAAGTACTGAGTGCTGACTGGGTAGGTCGTCTTTGCTCGTTGAAAGACTACTGCATTTTTTAAACAGTACACGTGTTACCACAACGGACCTCTACAACTGTCATAAGAGATTCCTGTGACGTTCTCATAACTTCCATTGTCTTTTCACAACAGCGACGATACACTCCCTCCACACCGGTCAGTCCCATCCCATCCACCATGTCACGTGTCAAGCGAAATGGTACAGTTTCTGGGGTGGGGAGAAATTTGCCCTGCTCGAAGGCCACACCTGCGAGAAAACGATGACCATTCAAGTTTCAATTAATCAACTTAAATCTCATTTAATGCAACTTCGCCGAGTAAAGAAACCCCAAAGAAATGCAAAAAGGGCCTCATTGAATCAGAGTACTTTGGAAACGTAACCAGTGATGTCGACGATAACGGGGAAAGCTCGCAACGGTTTTATTTTGGTTATATCTGACCTGCATATGCCATGATTAATTTGTATTTTGCAGTGCCGCGTCTGTCACCGGGAACACTTAAACAAAATAAACAATGGAAGTGACAATAGCTTCAACTAAATTCAACTGAGCCAAAAGGTGCCAACAAAACAAAAGCAAACGGACATGTGTAAGGATTTAGATGGAGTATACTGCTGGTTTCTTGTAATCAGATTGATGGGTTTTGTGTGCATGCTTTAGTAAGAAAAGTCGCACGGTAAATTTTAAATATTTGAAAAAAAATATTACAAGAGAGAAAAATATTTCAGGGCTCGACACTAACGGTAGCCCACTAGCCACAGACTAGTAGAAATTCAGTTTTGGCTACTAGTTTTCAATTTCCACAAGCCAGTTTGGCTAGTAAACAGACTGAAATTGTCGTAACATCTAAAAACGTTCAAGATGTCTCTAGCCACTTGGCTCGCAAGTTGAAAAATTAGTGTCGAGCCCTGTACTTAATGGTCGAAACAAAGATAAATGCAGCACGTAAAAAATGTGTGTATATAATATTACAGAGGCTTGATCTAGAAAAGTTAAATTTGGCGGAGAGCGTGTGGGGGTAAAGATTTCTCTTTTCGTGGTGTACGACTACACAATTTTTTTCTTACCAAGATCAATGTGGACGAGTTCCGCTGTGTTGCAGTCAACGAGAATATTCTGTACGTGGCGGTCACCGAGACCCACCACGTAACCAACTAGAGGAAAAAGTAAGGAACATTAAAGGACTTAGCTTTCTCTTATTTAATAATGTACAAACCAGGTCTCAACCCCATGTATTGTTGAGATTGTTGAAAGACGTTACAATTGATCAATCCAGGAAGTTTAAGTATTCCATAGTTCGGG